TCGTAATATGCTGTAAATCATCGTTTACAGCTGCTGTTTACGACGAGCGTAAAAAGTTACCGTTTTTTGACGTATTTAGTTGGTGAACGGCCGTTTGCTGCCGAGCGTCATTGACCTGGGTAACACACTTTAAACAAGAAAAGGTTTTTTCCCACAGACATTAAGTGTGTGAATGTGAGTGTATGTGAGGACTGAAACCAGATAGACACCCATACCCACATTACTTTACAAAAAGCAGTTATACAGCAGAATTTTAGTTCAAATTTTACTTTCATCTAGGAATCTTACCTCCACTTTGCTCACACAAATAGATATTCTTGTGTCGTAATTGAACACTCAGAAATGGAATCTGTTCATCATTTGAATCTTTCATCACTCCATTAGTCACATCACGTAATATGTTTACAATATCTTCGTTTGGAGTTGCAATATGTTTCAGAAGATGCTTCATAAATAAACTATTTTTCTCTTCAGCTCTATCATTTACTAATTTACCAGGTGCACAAGCAAAAGCAATCAGAGCACCTGCTTTATGCACGGCTGTTAGGCCAGCTGATTGAGAATTGCCTACACTTAAAGCACGTGTGCCTAAATCAGAATTTTGTAAGGCATATTCTCTACAGCAGTCTAAGAGAAAAATGATTACATATGGCTTTTGATCACTTAAAGTATTAAGAATATCTTGTGCATTGATAGCACTCTTTTTCAAAAGGTCAGATCTCTCTTTTTTTGAAGCATCTGTTTGTAAAATATCAGCTATCTTTTCTGAATCTGTTTCAATGATTTCAGGGAAATTAGGAAAGTCTCTTGGTATCAAGTAGGTTTGATCCTAAAAGTAAAACAGATAAATCTCATTAAAAGGCTAAATAGTTTGATGATAAAAGTCTTGATACATACTTCCCATTGTACCCCATGTCCAGCAAAATAAAATAAGACCACATCGTTGAATTGTATTGAGTGTTCAAAATCAACAAGCTTATGTTTTATCTGAACACGTGTTTTATCCAATAGTGCTTCATCAGTGATAAAGCCAATACGGTGCAAAACAGATGACAAGTCTTTCGCATCGTTCTGTGGATTTTTTAATTTTAAAACATGTTCATAATTGCCAATGCCAATTACAAGCGCTAACTTACGTCGTGGTTCACTTGTCGCCCCAAATATTGCTTTAGCTGCCATCAGAAATAATCTGAATCGAAAAAATACATCTGATATTGGAAGATATGTCTAAATAGAAGACTTAAAGTAACGATAGACATTTAGAAGGCATTTGACAACTGTTGAATATAAGGCTATGTATTTAAATATTCCAGTCCAGAACTTTCGTTTGGTTTTATTCAGGAGGGGGAGAAAGTCTTCCAAAGTTAGGGAGAAAGTAGCCGAAACTTAAAGAAAGCTTTCTATTTGGGAGAAAGTGCCTGATTCTCCTTGAAAACCTAAAGAGAACGCATTATCTTTCTCAAAAACAGCTGCTTTTCTTTGAAATCTTAAAATAAAGTTTCTCTTTAGAAGAAAATGTCTGTTTCTCTTTGAAAACTAGACAGAAAGCTTTCTCTTTTGCATGTTTTTGGTGCATTTCTTCTATTGAAAATACCGAAAAACCCACTAAACAGCAGCTAACAAAAATTTCCCGGAAGGAAGGCAGAACACAAGAAAAGGATTAGGTGAGAGAAAATTCCCATCTTCCACACCCTAATCGTATGGCCTAACAGCTGCAATTTTCTGTATATAGCAATAGCAGATTTAGATTCATTATCTCACACTTGTCAGTTGAGCCAAGATATCAGAAAGAGACTTAAATTCATAATGATTCCCTCTATCTGAGTCGAAGATTTTGAAATAGCAGATATCGTATACAGTCGTGCTCTGGCATTTTTCAGGCTCGTGCAGTCAGCCGCCTTGTCTGTTCGAGCTTTGCTCGAGTGGTAGCCTAGTTTTTTTTTCTTTGACCTGTTTCAGTTTCTGTTTGAGTTTTACTTATTTTCCCTTTGATCAAAGAGAAAATAAATAAAACTCAACGAGAAATGGAATCAGATAAAAGAGACATTTAAATAAAACTGAAAGAGAAACTGAATCAGGTCGACTTGATTCAGTTTCTCTTTGAAAGAAAATAGCTTGTTGTCTTAAAAAAATTGGAAACAGAACTTCGCTTATGCATAGCCAATCTGGTCCACCGAAAGATTAAAAACCGTTAGCTCTTCATAACAGAAAATTTCCTGACGCAAAGGTAGAATGTAAGAAAAAATTTAGGAAGGGAAATCATCCTTCTTTTCCCTCCTAACCGTAAGCTATGTTCCAGTCTGTGCTTCACCAGATGCATTCAATTCTCGCTATTAATTAATGAAACAAATTAAAGCTAATACTTTGTTCGACAAGGAATCTTTGGTTTAAGCAGGGCAATGATAGGAAAAAAATGCAAGAATAAACTTTAAATGAATCAATCAAACGATGTTCTATTTAAAGAGAAATGTGCTGACTTAACGATCATGTTTGTCTTATCATGAAAATGAAAACGTCTAAGCTTTCGATCTGCCTTCAAATCGTCATCAGACACAACTATCAAGTATGAAAGAAAGAAACTAGATCATATATGTAGTGAGTATAATCTCTTCATCTATGTTGTTCTTTTTCTTTTGAAACACTGCATTATAAGGTGGAGATAGTCTTCGTTGAATTATCGACATTGTAGTGTTTCAAAAGAGAAGAACAAAACACGGATAAAGAGATTGTATCTAATACATGTGCGGTCTAGTTCTTTTTCTTTTATACTTGTTATTTGTATCATATGATGACCAGAAGACAGATTGAATGCTTATATGTTTTTATGTTTATGATAAAACAAGTATGGTTAACTACAGTCACAGCCATTCCATCCACATCCTATTTTGTTTGAAGCTTCTTCTCGTCACCTTTTCGCACATTCCTTGATCATCTAATACGTTCTTGTCATGCAGGTACATGTATATGTAACCTGCTGCTTTTTGACTTCTTCAAACACGTTACTACGCATGACTTGAAACTTCTCACAATTTCGTTGACATATTGATCAACATGCTGACAGTTTTTGCCGTCCCTCTTACGAATTTATGCGTGGCTTCTCGTACATTACTTGCAGTTTTACGCATTCGTTTGTGATCTGAAGCTCTGCACGATGAGTTCGACAAGTTGATGAATAGCCTGAGGCTCTTCGTCCTCTCTTTTAAGGGTTTGTGTGCGAATTTAATGTGACTAGAAAATTTTCGCCGACATTTCGCTAAACTGATGTGTGACTAGTATCCTTAAATTCCTAACTCTTGGGCATTCATGTAACTGTGCTGCACGATGTCATTGGTGAAAGAGCCTAAGTTTTGTTCCTTACTGAGTGATTTGAAGATATTTCGTCTTCACAATGACACTTCCTTCTGTGACTCGAAATAGTTCACCCTCCATGTTGCACATTATTGTGAGTAGTGAAGCTTCTTCAACTAACTCTATCATATCATTGAATGAGATGAAACTTTTTGGCTTTGCAGCTACGAATTTTGTTATGATCGAACACTTTTTCGCTGTCACTGTAACTCACATGCACCAAGTCTTATTAAATTTGGAATTGTATTACATTGTGTTTTCCTTTTTCGTCTCATCAAAAACTGAAACCGATGAATAGAGTGTGGAAAGAAAATAAGAAAACCAGTCTTGTTAGATGTAGACAAAATTACAGAAATTATATGAATAAACTGATAAGAAAATATGAGATGGCTGTCGAACATACATTGATATATCGATCAATTTTTAATTAAAGTTGATCACGGCTATCAATTCCATACGTGACTTTAAAAATATTTTTTTGTACTTCTCAAATTATCTGAATGCGTTACTCACCACGACCACGTAATGATAAGCAAATTGCTTGTGGTTATTTGAATAGGGCGTTGTTGTAGATTTTAGTTTTGTTTTGTCTTATACTGTTTGCTTGTTTTTTTCTTGAAGGATTCGTTTGTTACTTTTTCACCAGAACAACACTTTACATATCTTATCTTCTTTCTGTCAACCTGGATTTTTTTTCATTTTATATTTAATTTTACCAGTTATTCACTCTACTGATAAGAATTCCACGTTGAAACAGTAAAACCTGCAACATAAAAAGCAGACGACGAATAATTGTAAATAAGAGAAAAAACTCATATTCGTGAAAGAAAACCACATGCGTAAAGTGTGAGATGGTTGGCATCTTTCAAAAATACACAATAATGAACAATAATATATTTCATTGAGCATTTATTAGAAACTTAAATTATCGATAGTAAACAGAGCACGATTTTTGTTGTAGAAATGATTTCAAATTTTTTGTTCATTCTTAAATACATGAAACTTGCAATAATATGAAGCTGAGATAACTTTTTTTCAAGACAACATAAAAATGGATAGTTTAGAAAATTTGACATATTCATTTTATTTCTCCAATAGAAAAAAAGTAAGAAAACATAATGTTTTTTTTTCAGTTGTTCATTTGAACCTGGACTTCAAAAAATTGCTTTCATTGTAAGAAGAAAACTTTTCATAACTGGTTTTATTTGCTATGTAATGTGCACGAGAACAGCCAATCTTGAGGATGAAAGTGAAGGTGAGATTTTTTTCTTTGCTTACACGCTCGCAACATTGCTGAGATAGATTAAATTTAAAAAACAAAGGGATTTTTTCCAATTTTTTTTTTGTAAATCATTAAACAAAACATTCGTCAGAAAAAAGCAACTTTACATGCAAACGCATGTTTAAAGATCTGTTTAAAATAAAACTATCGACGTGAACTCATTGCCATTAAAAGAACCAGTTTAAATAACATCTTGATATGCTCTAAAAAGTTTGGCTTTTGTAAAACTGCTTTTCATATTAGCTCGATATATGTTCGTATTAATTAACTATAATATAGTTCATACCGAACATTGCTCATTTCACCAATATCTGTTGTTTGATAATTAAATTGCTCGAGTTTGGCTATACTAATAAATGTAATATGATCCATAAAAAATCATTAGAAATTATAGTTGCCTAAAATACTCATAACAGATTGTTTCATCAAAAGATGTGTCACTTGTTTAATTTATTTTGATATTTATAGTCGACTAACTATAGATAGATGTAACATGCACTTTCATCGAAATATATCAAACTAATCTACTAATAAAGAATGATAAGAGTATTCAATTCCTTAATATTAATTTCAGTCATTGCTAATAAATTATTGATGTTTCGATTAAACATACTACTATAAAAAAAAGTATCCAACTTCTCAATACATTACTAAGATGACATGTAAATTTTGTGAAACACGACCTGAAAGGAGTGTTGAAGTGTATAGGGTAGAAATTTTGCACCCCCCCCACAGATCGTTACCGACAGGTGCTGCCCCTGTCGCAGATCGTTACCGACAGGTGATTCCCACATCACAGACCGTTACAGACAGGCCCGGGACTAGAGTCCTGCACGGAGTCGTTTTCGGAGTCAATTAAATTTGTTGCCGAAAATTTAGTTGTAGCATAAGAACTTTTTTGACTTGCAGGTTTTGTTCTCTGATATCTAATGTATAAACTGACGAATTTTGGAGATTCTAACAACATCTTATCAAGGTCTATGAACATGAAAGAAAGTCGGAGTCCGATTTGACTCCGATTTTTTTCGACTCCGACTTTCTTTCATGTTCATAGACCTTGAATAAGATGTTGTTAGAATCTCCAAAATTCGTCAGTTTATACATTAGATATCAGAGAACAAAACCTGCAAGTCAAAAAAGTTCTTATGCTAAAACTAAATTTTCGGCAACAAGTTTAATTGACTCCGATGACAACTCCGAAAACGACTCCATGCAGGACTCTAGTAGCAACTTTGCTAAAAAAACACGGTTTTACATCGTTTTCAAAATAAATGATTTCG